ATATATATATATATATATATATATATATATATATATATATATATATATATATATATACATACATATATATTGGGGGTATACATAACACCAACGAATCTTTCTGTTTAGCACAGAATGTCCACGACCACTGTATAGTCTTCCAGCGTGGAAAATTGAATTCCATGACTCCCGGTGCTGAGTCACACTATGAGTAACATTTTCACCCTGTTATGAGAAGATACGAGCTACATAAGAGAACCTGCGCGAGCAGTTGACTTTACAGCTGTACAAGGTTTTTTTTTTTCAGACACCGCGTGTACTCGGACATTACCGTTAATTTATGTATAAATCATCCGAACATATTGACCAAGCGTGGATAGCATTTTTCGCACATAGGCTGTCGATACTTATACCGATAATTTTAACTACAGCACAGTCGCGAGCTGAGGCTCCACCTGCATCATGCATGCTGGATGCCCATTGAGTTTCGGGTTCGCCTATACCTTCTCCGGATTCAACCTTACCGTTTTTAAAGTTATCCACTAACTTTGCAGTAGCCGTTCCCATGCGTTGCGCGAAAAAAACACAGGCGCATACAGTTTTATGCTCTTGAGCAGGCAGCCAAAACAGACCAAAGAGAGGCTGAATAAGACAAGCAAGATGCAGAGGGATATGCTCCCCTGAGTAGGTTCAATCGGAAAACACCCGCTCCAACGCTAATTTCACATTCCGAAGTCTTGTTGGACAGTGCTTTAACAATGACGTGGCAGGCCCGTTGCGGGCTGAGGCCACCTTCGGTAACTCCTCTACACCCAGTACCTCTATGTATCGCTGCTTGCCTTGCAAGACCAGCGGAAGGAACGAATCGACAAACCGGCAGTTAGCGCCACTAGATGCAAAGAGCAGGTGCGCAGATGTGGGCGGAAGGCTTGGTTCAATTCCTTCTGGACGTGCGTGAAGGAGGATGAAATGGCGCCTAAATATGTTCACGCAGAGAGGCAAAGACGCTGAATATAGATGTAGAGTCTTAATACGTGCAAAGGGAGTAAACTATATGCACTTCACGCAGCGCATCAAACGATCGTGATAGTTGCGTTGGACATTTCTTCCTGCTTGGAGTTTCGGAAAGGAGCGCTCTAGAGACTTCCTCTTTATTTTAAGCAGACTTGCCGAGATGTCTGCCGCGCTCGTACGGGAGAGATGATGGCTGTAGAAAAAACAATCACGCAAATAACAGCATATGGGCTCCCGCTACGATCGTTACTGAGCAACAGCGCAATGCAGGATCCAAGAAGGTTCAGTGCCTCTGCAGCTCGTCAGGCGGCAAGAAAGCTGGCAAATGTTGCATACTGGCCTAGTGCCGAGATGCCGCTAGATGGGTTAAGTAATCTATTATCCAGCTGGTGGCAGTCTGCAGCGCCTCCCGCTCTGCAAAATGCAAGGCAGTCGAACCAGTGGGGAGTAATTCAGGCGGGTGTCACACAAATTCGAATTTTATGTCCTCACATGAAAGCCAGCTAGCTCATGGTTTCTCATAAATTTCGCCCTAGTGCCATGCAGGCAGTTGTTCTGTGCTTCCTTCCGAGATCTGGTGACTCGTTACAACCCCCCGAACAAGCTTGCTCCTTAAGGAAGAGTTTGCAATGGGCGTCCGGAATGACAGTGTTAGAACAATTTTGTGGATGATTGCATTCGCTAAACTTCAGTACTTGTTTCGCTGTTCAGCTAACTTGTACGCTTCTTTGCACCTCAGACACCCTTTACTCAACATTCAGCACCATTTCCTTTGCCCAAGCAGTCAATGAGAGCACTAAATTCAAGTGCATCTGCACCTGTTGTCGGTGGGCTAGTATTAGCTGAGCATTCACCTGATGCAACTCCACAGCGGCATTCAACGCCTGAAACTTCTACTCCTCCTGCATTTCCCTGTGCTCTGAGAAGAACTACTTTTACTGTGAAAAACATAACATCTGAAACGAATTTGGGTAGGTTTGCAGGAAGCAGTCGTGTTAATTTCAATTAACTGGGTAGAAGCAAAAGTATGAAAGATAGCAGAGGCAGAAACCACAGCCTGAAGCAAGCGTGTACATGACAGACACAAATTGTAAATAAAGGACATTTGAACGTTGACAAAAATTGTACTTTGTTTCGTTTGCTTGCTGCACGCTCTACAGTCCCACGTTTTTGGAATTGTACTCGACTGGGGTCAGTTCACGAGCGAGAGCCCTCACCCTTAGCCGAGGAGAGTCCTAAGCTGCAACCGAACGAACAAGGTTTAGCTAAAAGTTATCTTCCAGCATGCAGGTGACACGGAGACATAAAGCTGAGCAGATATAGCATGGTCTGTTCGATGCTCGCACGCAGATTTATGTCCACGTGCTGGACGGCAATTAAGGACTGAGGAAGCGGTGTACAACTGTCTACAGTGTTAGCGCCTGCGGAAAAGAGTGCATTTCAAGTCATGAGCAGCGGGCTTTTCTCCGCACCAGGCCCTGCCTGTTCTGCCGCTGTGCCCAGGAAGCATGGAAACTGAAGGCGAGGCCGGCCGGCTCTTAGAAACCATTATCCTAAGTCTTTGACACAGTTGCAGCTCATAGCGACCCTTAACTAAGAACGAGGGCCATCGACACAGCCTGGGGCTGGCAACCAGGGGAGGCGGTCTGTCATGAGCTCGTGCACACCTTGTTCCAGCTCCTGCTCCAAGGCAACCGTACACGCAAGCGCAATGCCGGAACCCCGTTTTCGTGCATGCTTTACCAGCGGAGACAATCGTTGTACACTCAGGTCGCTCGCCCTCGCCAGCCCGTGCCCAAACCGCAATGCATATACCAACGCCACGCATAAAACAGTGCATTTGCTCCACCTATCTCCCCCCATGCAGTCAGCTCAACCCCGTATCTGGCCACCCAACAAGGGAAAGGTAGGCAAAGAAGACGGAAGGAGGTAGCCAGAGGGGGGCACTGCCTCGAATAAAAATAACTAGCGAGTGGAAGCGGTGAACGTTATCTGCTGCTATTGTTTATATGTGCTGCTGCTGACCACACTGCGTTGCTGCAAGGAAACGCGTCGCCATAGGTCAGTACGCCACTCTGCGTT